TGCAGCAACCTTCCCTCCCAGCTCTCCTCACCATAATTCCCTTCTTACCCCCGAGATAAAAAAGCTGCGAGCCAGTCTCTGCTGTCAAAACATCCATGTCTGTAAAATAACCGCCCTGGACACCCGGCTGCACGGTAGCTGTGAACAGCACTTGACCTGGCTCTGCCCCGCTTGCTTCCAGCTGACCTCCCTGGGTGCTCCGGATGCACCCGAGCTGGTGCCAGCGCTGGGATGCCCTCACTCCGTCCTTCCTGGGGACACCCCGCGAGAGCATCCCCATCTCCAGCACCTCTGGGCTTCCGACATCTCCCACCACACAAAGGCTGTGTTGCAAAATAGGGAGATACTTGATGGAGCTTGTTCTGCCCGGAAAAATTCCTCGCTTACGCAAATTTTGACCGATCAAAGAGAAAGAACCCCATTCCTTCCACTAAAACAACTTCTTGCACCCTTTGGAGCATACTTTGTGTGCCTGTTTGCTTCTTGTCTGCTCCCCGCCTCCCTGACCTCAACAACAGCTCCTGTCAACTTGTATTAAATCTGAACATGGGGTTTTTTAAGACATCCCCTGCGCGTCAGACCTTCCTCAGCTTCCCTACGTAAGAAGGGTTAAGCACAGATGATAATCACAAATCTACGTGACAATACTTGTAACATCACAAAATACCCCACCGGACCGGTGGCAGGGACGGTTACGAAGAACGACAAAACCAGAAGCCTTATGAAGCAGCATCCTCCATCGCGTCGGAGCACGGAGCCCAGCTCCCTCCTGCTGACCAGCCCAGCTCCCACACGAAGGGGAAACACGGCCCCACGACCGACTGTGACGTGAACCAGCAGCAGCAACGGGCAAACTGGGGCTGCGGGATTTAACTGGGAACCTGCCTTGCCCCCACCATCAGTTGGGTCTCAACTCTGCGCGCTCAGGTTGAGGGTCAGTATCTGCCCCAAATACCCCTGCGTGCAATTTTTTGGTGCAGATCCTGCCCCTGCTTTGTGCAAACAACTACCGTGCAAAATCAAAGGGAGGCGAATCCCTGCAGGATTCACCTGCAGCTCTGGCTGTAGATATCCACCCCCCCCGCACGGCTCTGGCCCCAGACAGCAGCAACGTCCGCCGCCCACCGGCATGGCAGACAGAAAGGCTGGACTCGAGATGAAAAACATTGCTTGTAAGTTAAGTCTTGGTTTACAGATCAATTAAAACCAAGCTGCATGGCTTCCTATGCCCCTGCCGAGGCCAGCGCAGTCTGAACTGCGCTCTCCTGGCGACGGGGCGATGGAACAGAGAAACCTCACTGATGGCTACCAGCCTCTTCCTGCAGAAAACACTGAGTTTGCAGCAGGGACAGAGCATATATACATTTATTTATTAGCAGTGGTATTGGTGGGTGCCTTATTATGAGGCCATAAGCAGGGTTTAATGACTGTCACCAGGTTTAGTGCTCGTTTGAGGCCATGGCCACGCACTGTGCAGCAGCGGGCTGCAAATGCAGCGTCCTTCAAACAACCTTAACTTTAAAGCGACCTACATATCAGCTCTGGATCCCCGGGCTTGCAGGGACAGTGGCTGAAAAGGTCACCCAACTTACATAAGTTCTGGGACCCGCAGCGTCGTTACAAAAGCTGCGGCTCAGAGGCAGAAAACAAAGTGACCTGACAACGTGGGAGCAAGCCCAGGGATGAATCCTGCAATGCTCTCCAGAGAGAAACCTGGATTTAACGATCATCCTCGAGTCAGATCCAGCTGGCGACGACCCCACTGTGTGAGTGTGGGGGGCAAGGAACTTATCCAAGTCAGAAAACTTGGGTGTTTCAGCTGAAAGCTCAAAAAAACTTTAAACAAAGCAAAATTTTGACACCAGAATACTTCATATGTGGAAAGAGCATTTTCTCCTTAATAAAAAAAAATACTTGGATAAAAGGAACCCATCCAGTGCCCGGATAACAGCACGCAGGCACTGCTCCACAAACACAGGCACGGGCTCCCATTTCTGCAGCACTCCCCAGGTTGCCGATACGGCTGGAGTTCTTCCAGATCCCTCGAGCGAAAACAAGAGCCGAATCTGGCACGGCCTCTTTACACACAATAGCAATTAGCGAAAAGTCGTAACTTGTCAACAAATACCAGCTTCCCCAGCTGCTTTAGGAGGACGATACCAGCGATGCCTACGGACCTGCTGCGAAGCAATCACATCAAACGGCAATAATACACACGTGCACGTGCCAAAGGAGGAGATGCTGCCTTCCCTCGGGCTGTGGGATGGTTTTTCTAAGTTTTTGTTGTACAGAAGCAGGGGGGTCCTGTGCTCTGTTGCGCCCCGAGCCCAGCGCAGCCCCGCTGCCGCTCTCCCCTCCCGTACCTGCATCGCCTCCAGAGCCTCCTTCAGCTGTTGCTTCTCTGGTCGGCC